TTTTTTCGAAACCCTACGGAAGAAGGTATGTCCGAGAGTTAATTGAAGAAAAGTGTGAGAGTGTATGCGGGTGTCTCTCACTGTGTGTGAGAACCAGAGTGAGTTTCTCCTACTCAGGAGTTTAAGACTCTGTGCGAACGTGTATCTTTTTCTGAATAATTGAGAGCTTCTCCGTGTTTTTCTTACTGTGTCTCAATGTGTGCGAGAGTGCGAGACATTCTGCAAAATTACCTCACTCTTATCGAGTTTCTCTGATTTTGATAGATATCTTCTAAATATTTCCCAAGTGCCTAAGGGTGTCTGATTCCGCGCGAGAGTGAATGAGTGTTTCTGGGTGTGTCTGTTCCTGAGCGTGTATTAGTGTGTCTTCCTCCGACAGTTTTCGAGAGCTTAGGAGTGCGTTCAAGCCTGTCTGAGAAACTGTAGAAGTGTTTGAGGTTGCAGGTATGTCTGAGCCTTTTTGATTGTGTCTGAGAGTCTCAGAATATCTCTTGATTGTGTGGGACTGTGGTAGAGTGGTAGAGTGTCTAAACTTGTGCTTGCCAGAGTGAGGGTGTCTCGATGTGAGAGAGTGGGTCTGACTTTGTGCCTCTCAGTGTGTGCCTGAATATCTGTGTCTGAGTCCTTCAGAATATGAGCATGTCTGTTTCTGAGTGAGTCTATGTGCGATAGTGTCTGCCTGTTTATGTGTCTCAGGGAATGAGATTCTCTCTGATTCAGTGTGACCCTGTGGAAGCGTGTGTGTTTATCTGAGTAAAAACTCAGTAAAAAGGAGTCTTTCTCTTTGTCTGCCCTTGCCTGAGTGTGTTTGAGTGTGTCTGGTTGTGTGCCAGTGTGTCTGAGTTTTTCTGAGTGTGTCTGAGTGTATCTGGTTACGAACGAATAAGTTTGGGTGTGTGCGAGTGTGTCTAAGTGTGTCTGAGTGTGTGAGTGTTTTTACAGTTGTGTCTGAGCATGTGCAAGTGTGTCTGAATATTTATGAGTGTGAGTGATTGTGTGCGAGTGTGTCAGAGTATGTTCAAATGTGTCTTAGTGTGTGCGAGTGTGTGAGAATGTGTCTGCGTGTGCCCGTGTGCCTGAGTGTACCTCAGTGTGTCTGAGCATGTATTTATGGGTCTGATTGTTTCTCAGTGTTTGCAGGTGTGTCTGAGTGTATCTGTGTGTGTCTGGGTGTGTGCAACTGTGCCTCAGTGTACCTGTGTGTTTCTGAGCATGTATTTATGGGTCTGATTGTTTCTCAGTGTTTGCAGGTGTGTCTGAGTGTATCTGTGTGTGTCTGGGTGTGTGCAACTGTGCCTCAGTGTACCTGTGTGTTTCTGAGCATGTATTTATGGGCCAGAGGGTGTCTGAGTGTTTTAGATGTCTCTGAATGTGTCCAAGTGTGTGCAGGTGTGTCTGAGTGTGCTTGAGTGTGTGCGAGAATGTCTGAGTGAGTCTAAGTGTGTGCAAGGGTGTGCGAGTGTGTCTGAGTATGTCAGAGTGTGTTCAAGTGCGTCTGAGCATCTCTCAGTCTATCTGAGTGTGTCTGGGTTTGTGCAAGGCTTTCTCTGTGCCTGAGCATGCCTGAATATATCTTTATATATCTGAGTGTGTGCGAGTGTTTCTGAGTGTGTCTAAGTGTGTCTGTGTGAATGTGAAAGTGTGTCTGGCTGTGTGTGAGTGTGTCTGAGTATATCAGAGCGTATCTGAGTGTGTGCAAATGTGTCTGGGTGTGGGCAAGTGTGTCTGAGTATGTCTAATTGTGTCTGAGTGTGTTCAAGTGTGTCTGAGTGTCTGGGAGTGTGTGCGAGTGTGTCTCAGTGTGCCTGAGTGTGCCTGAGCATGTATTTATGGGTCTGATTGTTTCTCAGTGTTTGCAGGTGTGTCTGAGAATATGTGAGTGTGCCTGAATGTGTATTTATGGGTCTAAGAGTTTGCAGTTTTCTGTGAGTTTTTCTGAGATGTCTGAGTGTATCTGAACCTGTTTCATTGTGTCTGAGTGTGTGTGAGCGTGTTTGAGTGTGCCTGAGTGTGTCTGAGTGTGGCCTAGGGTTACGCGTATGTTTAGAGTTTAGGCTAGGTTTAGGTTTAGGTGTAGGGTTAGGGCCAGGTGTAGGGGTAGGATTAGGGTTTGGGTTATTTATAAGGTTAGGCGTAGGCCTTGCGGTAGGGGTAGGTGTGGGGTTTGGGCTAGGGTTTGGCTTACAGTTAGGCCTAGGTTAAGGGTTAGGTGTAGGTGTAGTGTTGATGGGTGTTTTTTAAGTGGTTGGTTTTTTGTGTCAGGGGTGCTTGTGCTGTTGTTTGGGTGGTTTTTTTATATTTTTAATAAAAATTAATAAAAAAGTTTTTTTATGTGCAATTTTATGATTGTCCACAAGGTGGCAGCAGTTTTATTAATATTCAGTTGCAATTGCAGTCTTTCTTCGGCAGGTCGCGCTGTTATGAATTCTTTTTCCATGCAGTTCCTGTTTTTCGTCAGCAGGTAACGCACTTATGAATTCTTTTAGTTGCAGTTCCTCTTTTCCGTCGGCAGTATTTCATGTAAAATATACGTGCAATTCCTTTTCTATGTCACCAGATGGCAGTGTTGCTATGCGGTTTGTTACTTTTTGGATTTTTTTTTTTTTTGTTTGTTTGTTTTATACCCGTATTTATTGGTGTAGTTTTTATGGGAAATTGGATAAGTGCCTCATAATTGCTAAGTGGTTTGAAAATTTACTTGTGTAATCAGGTGGTTATTAGGTGCTGGTCCAAGAAATTAATTAGGTGAAAATGAAAATCAGGACAAGAGCCTAAAAAAATTAAAATCAGGAGAAAAGCTTAAAAAAATTAAAATCAAAAGAAGAGCCTAAGAGAATTATGATCAGAGGAAGAGTATAAGAGAATTAAAATCAGGAAAACACCCTAAAAAAAAAAATCAGGAGAAGAGCCTTAAAAAAAACTTAAAATCAGAAGAACCTAAGAGCATAAAAATCAGAAGAGAAGCCTATGAAAATAAAAATCAAGAGACAAGACTAAGAGAATTAAAATCAGGAAAGGAGCCTAAGAGAATTTAAATCAGGAGAGGAGCCTAAGAAAATTAAAATCTGGAGAGCAACCTAAGGGAATTAAAATCAGGAGACGAGTCTAAGAAATTTAAAATAAGGAGAGGACACTAAGAGAATAAAAATCAGGAGAGGAGCAAAAAAAATTAAAATCAGGAGGGAAACCTAAGAGAATAAAAATCAAGAGAGGAGACTAAGAGAATTAAAATCAGGAGAAGAGCCTAGGAGAATTAAAACCAGGAGAGGAGCCTAAAAAAATTAAAACCAGGAACGCAGCATAAAAAAATTAAAATCAGGAGAGGAGCCTAAGAGAATAAAAATCAGGAGAGGAGCCTAAGAGAATAAAAATCAGGAGAGGAGCC